CGGGCCACGGCTGGGAGTGGCTGCTGGACCGACCGGACCGCGAGGGCCGCTGGGCGGCGGTCGGCTCCTGCTGCCCCTGTGCCGAGACCCCGCGCACCTGGCCAGGTAGGGCCCCCTCCCCCCGGCAGGCCGGACGGACGTGCCCGAGGGGGAGGCCGGGGCCGGCGGGTGGGGCGGGACGCGAGGCTCGATCGGTGCTCCCCCCCACCCCCACCCCGGCGCTGCCGCAATTCTCTGTCTACCGGTCCCGCACACCTGGTCACTCTGCCGCCGGCACCTGGCCAGCGACCCCCCCAGCCGGGCAGCGGGAGTGGAGAGTGATCACTGGGCGGGTCTGGGCTCGGGGGTGCTGGCCGCGTGTGCGGTGTGGACAGAGAGGCCTCACGGCACTGGCCCGGCCAGCGCCGAAAGAAAGGGTCGAACTCGCGAAGGGAAGGGTCGAATTCTCGGAGAACCTGCCCCAGGCGTGCCGAGGCCTTCTTGCCGGAGCTCCCGACTGGGATGGTGGGGTGCTGGGCGCTGCTGAGACCCTTCCGTACGAACGCTGGGCCCAGGCCGCAACCTGCTGGGCAGCCAAAGAGAGCAGTAGACCCTGCCTGTCAGCCCACACCCCTGGACTCGGGTGGGTGGGTGGGACGCCGGGCCACCCAGCTGCTAACTACTTGGGGTCCGCTAATCCCCTTTGCTCCCCTCGGTGGGCTCCTCGGGATTTCCGGTCTGGAGCACCTTTCGCTCCCAGCGCCCGCCCCGCCTGAGCTCAGCTGCCCGAGCTAGCGAGAGAACTTCTGAGAACCTCTCCCCACCCCGTGTGACTTGGCGCAGGGTCACCCCTTAGAGCATTACCACCCCCCCCCCATTCTTCCCTAGTGTAGTCCTTCCAACCTCTAAAATGCTTCACTTCCTACCCTAGTAGACAGTGACAGGGTTCTCAAAGGTTGAGGTGAAGGAACCCCTGGACCCTGGAGGGCCCTGGCAACTTTTGTCGGTCTTTGGGGGTCAGAGGTCAGCGGCTGAGGAACGGATTCCTGCTGAGTCACTGGCCTGGGTGGGATAAGGGAGAAGGCCCCTCCCTCCCTGCCTCCAGGCTGGTGTTCAGTAGGTAAGCAACTGTGTGGGCCTGGGCGCTGTAGCTGTAGCGGGCCCCACACTGTGGTCTGGGGCGTGGCCACTGTTCAGGGAAGTCCATGGTGGACTGGGGGCCGTACCCACAGTGGAAATGGCCAAGGAAGCAAGCTGGTGGAAGTTGCCTTTCTGTATGGGGTTCAGCAGTTAGCTTTCCTACCCTGTCAGCTTTGAGGCGCCCTCCCTGTAGGTCAGGTCTGAGGGGACTTACTGCATGCCATCTGGACCCACCCTAGGACATCTGATGGGACAGTATCCCCTCTGGTGTGGTTTCCCCCAGAGGGTGAAGTACACCCCTCAAATAGAGTCAGCAGGACAGGACCCCATGCCCTGTGGTCAGACCCAGTTTGTAACAGATTACATCTGACATACCAGGGGATTCATAAATTCCCTTATCTTTCAGTTTTTCAGGAACTTCGTTTGTTTTTCGCTGTTCTTGGAGGTACTGCAGGTGGATGTGTGGAGTGGTTGGCGAAGCTCCTATTCATCTCTCTGCTCCAAAAACCCCTTTACTATGTTGTTCTCAGACAGCATGTAGCCGATATTCAGCTGCTAAGAACAGATATTATACTTGATGTAAGCCAAAAGGCTGAGAAGTGAATTTTTTCATGAACTTTTGAAGCCCTCTAGAGCAGTGCCGGCTACGCCTATATGGTTGGACACCAACCCATATAGAGGCCTGTCCACTGCGGTCAGTGAGTGTGAGGTACAGCCACAACACTGTGCCACATACCCTGAATGGTCAGCTTCATTCAGACCCCAGTACAATCAGGATAGTGTGTTCACCCTTGTACGAACTGACGATGGTGGGGACCTAGATGCAGCTGGATGTCACCGTGACCCCATAAGGAATATTGGGACCAAGTCTGACCTCATACAGCCTGAGCAGCAGGCAACATCCCCATCTCCACACTCTGTGTGTCACCCCTGGGGAAGCCAGTCAGGACAGGACCCGAACCCCGTATTGAAAGGCAAGTGTCTCCCAGCACTAGTGCAGACCAGTCATGCAGTGCCCACCCATCTACTGGTGTAAAGCCATGGCTGCCACTGGGACCTGAACTCAGTGGGGGTAGGGCAAACCGGTATCCAGGAACTGGGGTGCTCTATACCAGTGTCCAGGAGATGGGGTACCACCTGGGAGGCTCCTTTTAAGGCAGGGGGAGCAGGGTGGTGGCCCTAGAGAGTTGGGGAAGTCACCATGTGGATAGGCCTGTTGGGGACAGGACTGAGCAGGTTGGAGACAGGAAGCTGCGGCCTAGATTCATAAGGGGTGACAGTCACAGCCTGGGAAGGACCAGTGGGCAAGCCAAGAAGAAGGGCTATGGAGTGGTGGGAGGTGTGGCCAGGTCGGCCTGCCTGGGGCTGGTGGTGGGTGTCTTTGTGACCCATGGGGGGACGGGGATGGTGACTACTATGCTAACAAAACCACCCCAAGCTTGTAACAGCATAATTGGAGTTCCTCGCAGTTTGGGGGATGGGAGGCTGTTCAGGGTATTGGCAGGGGAGGGTCCTGCTTCTGGTGGTCTGAGGCACTGGTTGGCTAGCAGCTGCAGCCTTTGTGTGCTCCCAGCCTCCTCCTTCACTTTGGCAGTTGTCTCTCCACCTTCTTTATGAGACAACACTCCAGTGGGATTAGGAACCCCCCCACACACTTGTGTGACATGTAAAATGACCACACCTGCAAAGACTCTGTTTCCGAGCCAGGTCCCCGTCACAGTGCAGAGGGAAGGACTTTTGGGGAACATCCCAGAATGATGGCAGCCATGGGCCTGTGTCCTGAGCTCACCTGTGCCACCCCTGGACAGCTGTGTTACACAGTGGAGTATCAGGCCAAAGGCAGCATGTCCCAAACACACAGTGACAGACGCACCAAACAGTGGGGGAAGGGAGCCACAAGAATGTGTTCGCGTCTTAAAATCAGAAGGGAGGGAAAAGTGGAAACAGCATCATCTGCCTGGATTATATTCATATTTATACCAACAGTCATAAAATACGACTCAATGTTTTAGGGTTTGTTTTTTAATGGAGGAAGCTCAGAAAACAAAAACACCCCAGGTCAAGGTCAAATGTAATTGTGAGTAGGGGGGTAGGATCCTGAGTGGCACCGATGGTTGATCTCGGTTCAAATGCACCCATCGGTGCTATAGAAGCAACACCTGGCGATCAGCTTCCATCAAGATCCCAAACCCGCTGCCATCAATTTTATTCTCACCATGACCATGGTGTTCAGTGCCCTCGAGTCGGGTCCAACGTACAGTGACCCTGTATAGGGTTTCCAAGGAGTCACTGGTGAGTTTGAACCACCAGCCTTGAGGTTCAAACTGACCGTGCAGTCCAGTGCTTATCCTACAGCACCACACCAGGACTCCAGAAAGTGAATGTGACAAACTGCAAACCGACAGAACAGTTAAAACAACCAGAGTTTCCAAAGCTGTCACCTTAACCAAAGCAGACTCCCACACCTTTCATGGGCAGCTAGTGGATTTAAACGGTCCACTGACACTGGCCTGTCGGGCCTCCTTCTGTAAAGAGGACAGCAATACAAATGGAATTTGGTTCTCTGCTGTCCAACGTGGAGTTGCCCTGAGTCCGGCTCAACTTGAAGGCAATAGATTTTTAGGGGGATGTCTGGAACAGGGACCCTACAAAGGACCAGATGTGTGCTGATGTCTCCTCCCTAGCTAGAGGGGACACTGGGACCTGGGGTTGTCAATCCTGTAAGCCATGCTGAGCTGAAGCCCAAGGTTCTCCAGTGTGTCCACATGTGAAGGTGGGGAGGGGCCCCACATCCCCCACTCTATGTAACATCTCTCCCTGCCCCTTCCTGCAGGCCCCTGGCCCCAACATGGCCCGTCGCTCCCAGAGCTCCTCCCAGGGGGACAACCCCCTGGCTCCTGGGTATCTGCCCCCTCACTACAAAGAGTACTATCGCCTGGCAGTGGATGCGTTAGCTGAGGGTGGGCAAGAGGCCTATAGCCGCTTCCTGGCAACCGAGGGGGCTCCTGCCTTCCTGTGCCCCGAAGAATTGGAGCACGTTAGCCGCCACCTGCGGCCCCCACAGCATGCTACCCGTGAGACCCCGGAGGGCAGCTCACCAGACGTGGACATGGACGGCTCCTCGGGAACCTACTGGCCTGTCAACTCAGACCAGGCTGTGCCCGAGCTCGACCTGGGCTGGCCCCTGACCTTCGGCTTCCAGGGTACCGAAGTCACCACCCTGGTGCAGCCGCCACCCCCTGACAGCCCCAGCATCAAAGATGAGGCACGCAGGATGATCCGCTCTGCCCAGCAGGTGGGCTGCCATGGGTGAACCTTAAAGCAAAAGTGCCAAGGTGTCGGCATAAGCCTGAGGGTGGCCAGTGTGGGGTGGGCCAAGCCACTGCAGGCTTCATGCCAGAGCCCAGACATGAGCAAAGGTGGGGTTGTCCATGGTGATGGGCCTTGGGCGTAGCCTATAGCCCTTGGTCCAGCCTGCTGCTGCAGATACTGCTTTACACGTTGACTTTGCCCAGGCCCCCCGACCCCCACGGACCGACCAGCCTGGGGCTCAGGGCTCTGTAACAGGACAAGGGATTACAGACAACTCCCCTGACCTGGCAGCAACTCCCTCCTTCAGGATTCTCTGTGCAGGGGTTCCCCTTTCTCCCCACGATGTGCATTCGTTGATGCATGGCGTCCCTCATGGTCCACCTACTCGGCCAGCAGCCCCCATCTCTGTCAGGCCCCTCCCATAGAGGCTGCAGTTCCCCCTCATTCCGCTGCCCTTCAACCGCGATGGGCTTACTGCCTTTGACAGTTTTTGTTGGTGATTCAGAGGACTCCCTTGGCGGGGTGCTGGGGCTGGAAAATGGGGTAGAGACAGCAAGGGGTTCATCCCTCCATTGCCACCTGTCCTTGCAGGTGGTAGCGGTGGTGATGGACATGTTCACCGACGTGGACCTGTTGGGTGAGGTGCTGGAGGCAGCAGCGCGTCGGGTCCCTGTCTACATCCTGCTGGACGAGATGAACGCACAGCACTTCCTGGATATGGCCGACAAGTGTCGTGTCAACCTGCACCACGTGGATGTGAGTGACCCTAAGGGGCGGGAGGAGAGAACCCCCTCGAGACAGAGACTGATGTTCCTCCCTAACCCTAGTTCTTACGCGTGCGCACTGTGGCGGGCCCCACCTACTACTGCCGCACGGGCAAGTCTTTCAAAGGCCACGTGAAGGAGAAGTTCCTGCTAGTGGACTGCGCTGTGGTGATGAGCGGGAACTATAGGTGCGCCCTGCCCCTCCCGCCCAAACGCTGCCCCACCCCATTGGGGACCTGACCCCTCCCCTTACTCGCTCGCTGCCTTCCAGCTTCATGTGGTCCTTCGAGAAGATCCACCGCAGCCTGGCGCACGTGTTCCAGGGAGAATTGGTCTCCAGCTTCGACGAGGAGTTCCGCATCCTCTTCGCACAGTCGGAGCCGCTGGTGCCCGCGGCCGGGGCACTGGCCCGCATGGACGCCTATGCCTTGGCTCCGTATTCGGGCGCGGGACCCCTCATGGGAGGCCTGGGGCCCGGGGCAATGACCCCCTTCTCCTTCCCCAAGCGTGCACACCTTCTGTTCCCGCCACCACGGGAAGAGGGCCTGGGCTTCCCCTCGTTCCTCGACCCCGATCGCCATTTCCTGTCGGCCTTCCGTCGGGAAGAGCACCCACGGGGCCCCGGGGGCGTCCTGGAGCCACACGCGGGAATGCGGCCTCTAGCGCGGCGGCTGGATGCGGAGGTCGGGCCCGGCGGGGAGCTGGCGGGGCAGCGTGGCTTCTTCCAGGCGCGGCACCTGGAGATGGACGCCTTCAAGCGACACAGCTACGCGACTGCAGACGGCGCTGGCGCCGTGGAGAACTTCGCGGCGCGGCAGGTGTCTCGCCAGACCTTCCTCAGCCACGGCGACGATTTCCGCTTCCAGACGAGCCACTTCCACCGAGACCAGGTCTACCAGCAGCATTACCAGTGGGATCCGCAGCTCGCACCGGCGCGTTCACAGGGCTTGTTCGAGAAGCTGCGAGCCGGACGCCCCGGCTTCGCAGAGCCTGAGGACTTCGCGCTGGGTGGCGGAGCGCGCTATCCGGAGCTCCGACCCGACGGCCACCTGCGCCTGGAATACGTGCCGTCCAGCTCATCGCGGGAGGTGCGCCATGGCTCGGACCCAGCCTTCGAGCCCAGCCCCCGAGGCCTGGAGCCCGGCGGGCCCTCTCGCCCCAACCTGAGCCAGCGATTCCCATGCCAGACGTCGGCTAGGCTCAGCCCTGAGGCTGCGCTCGAAGGGGAGCCGGAGCGCAGGGCTGGACCCGAGGGACGGGCTGGCCTGAGGCACTGGCGCCTGGCCTCGTACCTGAGCGGCTGCCATGGCGAGGACACTGGCGATGAGGGCTTGCCAGGGCCCATGGAGGCCGAGGCCTATGAAGATGATGTGCTGGGCCCCGGGGGTCGGGCAGTCGCCGGGGACATGCTCCCTTCGGCCTTCCGTGGTCCCACGGCCTTCCCGGCTAAGGGGCCAGGGCCGGGCTCGGGCGGCACTGGTGGCGACAGCTCGGAGCGCGAAGGCCCTGAGGAACTGAGCCTAGTCAAGCAAGACTCGTTCAGATCGCGCCTGAACCCTCTGATCCAGCGCAGCTCGCGGCTGCGCTCCTCGCTTATTTTCAGTGCGTCTCAGGCGGAAGGTGCGGGCGCGGCCGCCGCTACCACCGAGAAAGTGCAGCTGATGCACAAGGAGCAGACGGTCAGCGAGACGCTGGGCCCAGGCGGCGAAGCCGTGCGCTCCACTGCCTCCGCCAAGGTGGCCGAGCTCTTAGAGAAGTACAAGGGTCCGGCCCGTGATCCGGGCGGCGGCGCCGTTACCGTGGCCAGCCATAGCAAGGCGGTCGTGTCCCAGGCGTGGAAGGAGGAGGTGGCAGCGCCCAGCGGCACAGGGGGCGAGCGCCGCAGCCTCGAGAGCTGTCTGCTTGACCTTCGCGACTCTTTCGCACAGAGGCTGAATCAAGAAGCCGAACGGCAGCCGGGCGCCGCCACGCTCACGGCTACGCAGCTCCTCGACACGCTGGGCCGGAGTGGTGCAGACCGGCTGCCCTCCCGCTTCCTCTCGGCCCAGGGCCGGACGGTCTCTCCTCAAGGGCGGGACAGTCCCCCACCGGAGGTGTCTGGGGCTCACCAGATGCCCCACTCCGAGCCTAAAGGGAGCCCCACGCCAGGATTTCCCGCTCGGAGAGGAAGCCCAACACCCGCATTTAACGAGCAGAGAGGGAACCCCACCTCAGTCTACCCAGAGCACAAGGGCAGCCCCACCTCTGCTTACCCAGAGCGCAAGGGGAGTCCCACTTCCGCCTACCCCGAGCGCAGGGGCAGCCCAGTGCCCCCCGTGCCTGAACGCAGGGGCAGCCCAGTGCCCCCCGTGCCTGAGCGCAGGGGCAGCCCAGTGCCCCCCGTGCCGGAACGCAGGGGCAGCCTCACCCTTGCTTTTGCCGGGGAGTCTCCGAAATCTGGGCTCTCGGAGGAGCCGCCGGGTGGTCCCATGGAGGTCCTGCGCAAGGGCTCGCTGCGCTTCAGGCAGCTGCTGAGCCCCAAGGGCGAGCGGAGGTCAGACGAGGAGGGTGGCTTCACAATGCCACAGGAGAACGGGCAGCCCGAGAGCCCACGGCGGCCGTCGCTGGGTCGGGGCGATAGCACCGAAGCCACCACAGAAGACCGGGGCCCACGAGGAACGCGTGTGACCTCGGCCACGGCCAATGCTTTGTACAGCAGCAACCTGCGGGACGACACCAAGGTTATTTTAGAGCAGATAAGCGCTCACGGTCAGAAGCACCGTGGTGTCCCCGCGCCAAGCCCCACCCCAGCCCACAGCAGCCCCGAGCTTGGCCGCTCACCAGCTGCCGGAGGCCTGGCCCCTGACATGTCCGACAAGGACAAATGTTCAGCCATCTTCCGCTCGGACAGCCTCGGGGCTCAAAGCCGACTAAGCCGCACGCTGCCGGCTAGCGCGGAGGAGCGCGACCGGCTGCTAAGACGCATGGAGAGCATGCGCAAAGAGAAGCGCGTGTACAGCCGCTTCGAGGTCTTCTGCAAAAAGGAGGACGCTGGAGGCCCCAGCTCAGGAGAAGGCCTGGCCGAGGAGGATGCCAGGGACAGCAAGGTGGGCAAGTTCATGCCCAAGATCCTGGGCACGTTCAAGGGCAAGAAGTGAGGCCCCAGCCCTTGCCAGCCCAATCACTGCCACCAACCACCCACACTGCCCGCTAGGTCCGGAGGCCCCTGAACCTGAGCGGTGCAGGCAGGCCCTAGGCTCCAAGCAGCCTGACGCTGGCTGACAGGGTTCCCTCATGGCCTCCTCCTCTGCCTCCCCCTGGAACTGCCTCCTCAGCGCCTTTTTGAGTTCCGTTTCCCCTATAGGCCTTCATTTCCCCTGGGGCCGTGCCTTTGGGGGGCTTCAGGCCCCCATCCTCTCTCTCAGGGTTTCATCTCAGGGTTTCTGTCTTCTAAAGCTTCCTCTTTCCCATGGCCTCCTGGGTCCACTTCATTCTGTCTCCTGACCCCTCTCTCTCTGTGTCTCTACCTCTCTATCCAGACTTGGTTTCTTTCCTTCCCTGCTTGGACTCGGCCTCCTCAGTGTCCTGGGGCCTCTGGAAGGAAGGGTTGGCTGCAACAGCTTGTGTCGGAGGGGTGGGTTTAGACCCAAAGGCTGCTCCTCTGGTCAGTGACCAGGAAGCGCCACCACAGGAGAACCCGGCGGGACCACCCTGTGGGTGCACCTGCCCCTCCAGATAAACTCCAGCTATGTCTGGTGAGGGATGGGTGCACGAGGTTTTGTAGCACAATAAATCCAGTCTGGACAGATGAGTAGCCAGCCTTGTGATGCATATCTTCACCCACACGCATAACAACAGGCGCGCTCAGGGACCCCCACCCCAAGCCAGCCAGTACCCTAGAAAGACTTCAAGTCAGAAGAGCCCTGGGGCCAGCGAGGGCTGCGGTCAGAGTGTGGTTCTAGAGGGCATATGGACTCCACCTGTGATCTTTGGTACCTTTTGTCTCTGTCACCAACAGGCAAGCACTGTCCAAAGTGTCCCCTCTTCTGTATCTGTTTTAATTGATTTGAAGCGACACATTTTGGTAACAGACCCTTAGGAAATCCCATGGAACTGATTCGGACTCACGGTGATCCCATGTGTATGAGAGCAGAGATTGTCTCCACAGGGGCTTCGGTGGCTGGGTTTCCCCTAAACAATCTCATGTGTCTTGCCTCTGGGTGGCCTGGCACCTCCATCTACCCTTCTGGCTAGCATCTAAGCACCCTCGCCATTTGCATTACCCAGGGTCTCTGTAGTGGCCTACCTTCCTGAAATTAGCATGTTCATACATCAGTATCAACTCAAGGACAGTGGGTTATGGGTTGTATCTCTTCTGTTCTTTATCATCATAGCTTTTTTCTAAAAAAAGATAAATCCCTGAAGGAGAAGAGCCTAGGGAAGAAAGCTGATGAGCAAAGGTAGCAGGTAGGATTCCAGCGGTGTGGCTGTGAGAGCCGTTTACCAGCTGGTTACCCAAGTTCCAGTTAGGTACTTCAGTGTTCAGGTGGAGAGGGTCAGCCAGGAGCCAAGGTAACACAGCATTTCTGGGCCTGCCATTCCTGTGAGCAAGTTTACTGGGCAGCCCCCCATCCAGGCCCCTTACGAAGGGACAATTGTGGCAGGAAATAGGAGGACAGGTCAGAGGCTGGTGACCATCCCAGGCCTGGAGGCCTGCTGCCTGCGTTGGCCCGTGTTCTCTGCCTTGTATCCTCTGGTAACACGACTGCTCATTTTGGGGTTAACAGCAAAACAGTGCATTCTAACACATGCTCAAATATGTAGACTCCCACAATTGTATGTAGCAACATGTGTGGCCTTCCACCTGTGGGCCCCCCCCCACCCTGTGCTGCCCACCCTCTGCCCGCATCTTCTGGCCCCCTCAAGCCTACCTGCATTTCTCCTCTCCTGTCCTTGCCATCTGCTGGCCCTTACCCCAAACCCCCCAAGTCACCATGCCAAGCAGTTCCTTCCCAAGTCCTCCCCTCTGCTGGACATGAAGGAAGCCACCCTCCTTCAGCATGGTGGGCTCCCCTTGCCTGTCCACTTCCACAGCCACCTTTTTCACACTTACTTGTCATCAGGGGACTGTGCCTCAGGCTTCTGAAACACAGCAGCATGAATGACCCACTGCACCTTCAGCCCCTCAGGAACCGTCCAGTTCCACTCACTGAGTGGCTCCCCTCCTGGACTAGACTCGACTCCCTCCTTGACCCCAGCCTGTCTCTTCAGCAGCCAAGCCTCTTAGCCAGGGCTGGGGGTCCCCCAGCTGCTTCTCCTACCGTAGCTCCTCCATGCCACAGTCTGCCCTCATCACAGCTCAGACTACACCTGGAAGACTTGGAACTTCCCCGGGCAGGACAGCCAGGAAGTGACGCAACAGGATCTGGCCCCAGCCCAGGGTGACTGTGGAGTGGGCCACCCCAGGCCCCGTGATCTTCCTACCCCGCCCCCCAATGCTGGTGACCAGAGTCTCATGGAACATCTTCCAGTTGCTCAGTCACCAGCCAGCCCAGGTCCCTGAGTCACTGGCCTGGTGGGGAGAGACACAGCTGGACACTGATGGTGACCACAGTCTAGGGCCACACCCTGGGGGACAGGGACTGCTTGCCATCATGTCCCCTTTGCCTCTCTGGTTCAGTGTAACATCACAATTGTAGATATCTGTCCCTGCCCCTCAGGACCACAATGGGGTCTCATACTCAGGGACCAGCAGGGCAGCTGGAGGCAAGGTGGGGACAAAGGACAGGAAGCTGACCCCACACCTGTTCTGCAGGCCACCCCAGTGATGGTAGCCAAGGAGAAGGCCTCCACTGGGTGCTAGGTGTTGGGCACTGGGCCCTAAGTAGAGACAGCCACTCGGCTTCTCATCTGGCTTGTGGCCTAGGAAGGAGGGGTTCACGACAGGGCAGTGGGGACCCTGGGGGGAGGACGGGGAGGCCACAAAAGAGAGTCCCGCACTGCAGAGAGAGACTTTATTGTTGGAGATCACAGGTGAACTTTCTCCTCTCCCCAGAGACCCCAGAGAAGCTTGCGGGAATTGGAGTGTGGCCAGGCAAACGCAGAAGAGGGAGGGCTGAGGGGAAAGACTAAGGCGGACAGGGAGAGTTCCAGACTAAGGGAAGGGAATAGTAAGAGGGTCGGAGAGGGGCTGGGGGAGGGAAGGGTGGGCAGTGAGGGTGAGAGGGGCGTTGGTGACTGGGTGATGGGGTGGGAGACAAAGGGAGTTTCAAGTGGCGTGGCAACAGAAAGAGGGTCTAGAAGAGTGAATGAAGCCTGGTGGAAGGGCGCGGTAGGGGCCGGGCTGAACTGGGGAGAAGCAGGGTAAAGGAGCAGGGAGGGCTCACGCGAGGGGTCCTGGGGGCAGGGGCAGGCGGCCCAGCGCTGAGTGGCAGACGGTTCCGTAGGCTTGGGAGTAGCCCCCGAGCGCGGCCCTCGCAGCGCCCTGGGCCCCTTGCGAGGCAGAGAGGGAGAACATCCTCCGGCCGGGCCGGGGCTGGGGCCGGGCTTCAGGCCGGGCCTCCTGGGGAAGCAGCCAGCCACCTGGCGGTCAGTCGGGGCCCTCGGAAGGGTGGGACGCGGTGAACGGGGCGGGGGCGGGACTTACCTGTCGGCTGCCGGCCGCCCGCATCCCACGGCCCGGGGGCCGCTCCCTCCGGATCAGGGCCTGATTGGTCACTTCGGCCGCGGCCTGTGCGGTCAGGGAGGACCCCGCGCCCCTGACCTGGGGCTTCATCTGAGAATGGTGCATCACCCGGTCACTTGGCAGACAGGGGTGCGGCCAGTTCCCGGGAAGGACACGCACGCCTCTCCCCCACTCACCCTCGAGGGTACCGACGGGATATCCTCTGCCGCCCCGGGGGGCTTTCCCCACCTCCCCAGACCTCCTGGGGACGGCGGCTGGGGCAGGGGAGCCGACCTCTGCCTGGGAATGTTCTTGGCTCCGTTGGGGACATCTGTAGGGTCGAAAGATCAGTCCAGAGTTAGGGGTCCGGTGCTGCGGGTGATTGGTGGGCCCACAGGAGGGGCGGGGCCTTGCTCCGTGAGGGGAGGTTAAAGGTCACACACCGTGTAAGGGGTCGTGATTCGGGCTGCTCTGCGGCCTGGCTCCGGGGAGCTGCGCAGTCGCCCTCGAGGGGAGCTGCGCGACGGCTCTAGGCTGGAGCGGGTGTTCCTGGGGCCCCGCGGCCGTAGGTCCTGCCTGGGGCGGCGCAACCTCCAGGTCCTCGGGTTTCTGGTCGCGCTTGTAGCCTCTCCGCTCCAGGATCACCTGAGGGAAGTAGGGGAGCTCAGAGGCGCACTGCGTTGGCGTGGGGGAACTAGGGAAACCCCTGCGGTCAGGGAGGGCCAAGGATGCGCGTGGACAGGGGGGGACGGGATGGGGGTGGCACGAGGCGCACTTGATAGAGACGGTTACGATATTCGGGGGCGGAGAGTCGCACTCCTTCATCCAACGGGAGTCGCACGTCTGCCTCCAGGGTCCACTCGCGGGCTGGGCAGCGGAACCTGCGGGAGCCCACCGGGGGGAGGGGCGCAGGAGAGCCGGTGGCCCGGGCTCCATCACATCAGCCCCTCCGGCTTCCCTGCTAACTCTTGGGACCGTGCCCCATCTCCACTGCTGTACCTGGGGACAACCTCAAGGCCCTGACTGGTGTCTGGTGTCCCGCCCAGACCCTACTCCCTGCCCACTTCTCCTCGTGGCCCCGCCCCGTCCCCACCTTTGCACGTAGGGGTGCTGCAAGGCTTGGGCCGCGCTGAGCCGCTTGTTTGGTGCAAACACCAAGAGCTGTGTGAGGAGGTCCAGGGCCTCAGGGGGAGTGTCTGGTGGCAGAAGGGCGTCCAGCGTCTGCCGTGGCCTGAAGTCAGCCCAACTGTTAAACCCTCTCCAAAGCTTTGACTCGCAGACCCCATCCCAAATTCATGTCAGAAGCCGGGGCTGGGCTTCATCGGCTTCAGTCCAACCTACCCTGCTCTCCTTCCCACTGCACGCCCCCCTCTCAGCCCTTCTGCCACCTGCTGGCTACAGAGCTGCCCACTCACCGGGCCCCGAGGCTGCGCAGGAACGAGGCGCTGTAGTTTGAGCCGAAAGCCAGGAAGTCTGGGGGTTCCAGCATGGAAGGGCAGGAGATAAGTACACGTGCCTCCCAGGTGGGCATACATATGGCCCCACCTGCACATATCCAGGTGCCTCACACTCCCGAGAAGACAAATTTGTAACCACCACAGCAGGGGAGCAGCCCCCTCCCTCATGGGTATCCCCTCAAAAGAAATGACCCCAAGCTCCTCTCCAGCTCCCAGTTCCCCTGGACTCCTGTGCTCCCACCCTACAAACTCCCAGCAGAGAGGCCCCTGGACCTGTGCTCACCATCCTCCGAAGGCAGTGGGATGCTCTTCAGGATCAACTCCAACTGGTGGAACGTGGACGAGCCCGGGAACAGGGGTCTCCCCCGAAGCATCTCTCCCAGGATGCAGCCCAGACTCCACATGTCCACCCCAGGGGTGTACCTGACGGAGGGGTGGCAACATGGGGACAGCCAGTTTGGGGGGAGCCCAAGGAAGAGAAGTGGGTCTGGGACCCAGGCCAGGAGGAGGCCATCCCTGGGGAATGTGCAGGGAAGGGGGAAGGATGGAGGGGTCTCACTGTTACCAGCTGGAAGACAGCAACACCTCCGGGGCCCGGTACCAGCGTGTGGCCACATACTCCGTCAGGGCCTGGACCTCAGGCCCTTCTGGGAACTGGCTGAGAGAGCGGGCGAGGCCGAAATCACAGAGTTTCACCGAGCAATTAGCATCCAGGAGAACATTGGACGGCTGAGGGAGGAGGAGAGCGAGGGCTGCTGCTGGTGCACTGGGGCTGTGTGCTGGGGAGGTGCCGGCATGCTGGGGCTCACACCTTCTGGTCACGGTGGATGACGTTCCCTGAGTGGATGAACTTAGTGGCCAGCAGAAGCTGGTAGAAGATATACCGCTTATGGATGTCCTCCAGCAACTTGCCCTTTTGGATGACCGTGTTCAGGTCAGTGTCTGGGGGGGAAGGAGAAGGGAGCTGGGATGGGGGGGTAGGTGAGTCTCAGGGGGTGGAGGAGAGAGGCTCTGGAGGGATGCAGGGGAATCTCAGGGTGGATGGGAGGGGGGCCAGAAGAGGGTTGCAGGTCAGTCTGGAGTGAGAAAATGCAGGTCTGTCCCACCTTGAATTCATGCATAGCCTCCTTGTCAGACCCCTGCCTACAGTCCCTGGGTCCTGCTGACCAACACCAGAGCTGCCCTCACAGACCTTTCTTGGTGCTCACACTGCCTAGCAATCCCATGGACCTTGACTCCTGTCTCAAGTTTTAAAGCACTGCTCCCTGAGTTTTGGAGCCTAGCACAGACTCAAGCTGTTTGTTCTTAGGCATAAGGACACTGGGGCAGGCCACTGCAGGGACCCAGGCAGCAGGTCACAGAGGAGACATGCCAGGTGAGGCCCCATCAGCACCTGGGGAGGGGAGGACTGAGGCCTCACACATGCATCCACTTACCCATAGACTCAAACACTAGGTAGATGTCCCTGTCATTCTCTGCTCGGATCACGTCGAGGAGTCGGATGATGTTGGGATGGTCCCCTAGCTCCTGGGGATGGGGGGAAGAGTCATGGGCTGCTGGCAGGCAGGGGCTGTACACTGGGTGCCTAGGGGCCCAGATCCCCCATGTTTGGCTAGCGGGCACATGGGAAGGGATGCCCATGGAATAGTCTTGGCAACGAACCTGGAGGAGTAGGATTTCCCGGAATGTTCTCTGGAATGAGACAGAAATAAAAAAGAGCAATGTCTGAAAGATTGCAGAGGGCCGGTTCCCCCAGACACACAGCGGGCTAAGGGAGGTGAAATGGGTTGGGGAGCCCATTCTGGGAAGTCTGAGGAAGTGCTGCTGAACCAGGCTGGGATAGGGTATCATATCTAACCTGGCGTTTTCAGACACAAAGGGTCACTCTCAGCCCTCACTCTCCCCCATTACTCACCTGGGCATCAGTCTCATCTCTAAAGGCATCAAAGATTTTCTTGATGGCCACAACCTCGCCAGTTCTCCGATCCACTGCCTTCCACACTATGCCATAGGCCTGGGGACGGGAGGTTAGACTGCTGTTCACAGGGCCATTCCCAGACTGACCGGAGCCCACTGGAGACTCTGTCCTTCCTGGGAAAGGACCCCAACCCACAACTGCGGGCTGCCCAGCCTGTTGCCTGACATTCAGCACCTTCTTGAGGAAGGTTAGGGTTAAGGGAAAATGAGGTCAAAGGTGGGAAAGTCAGCCGAGACTGAAGTCTGTCTGGCCTGGGGGACTGCCAACCCTATCTATCTCCCCACCTCCACCCCCCCATCCCTGTCCACCCTGTCACTCAGTCTTGGTGGCTTTCTTCAGAAGCCGGCCACTTTCTAGTATCACTCCTGCCACCCTCCCTGCACTTAGTCCTCAACAGATGAACAGGTTGTGTGTGTGTGTGTGTGGGGGGGGTGAGGTCATCATCCCTCCCCATTGGCTCCAACCTACAGCCAGGCACCTTCTGTCTGTGCTCTCGCCGGACCCGTATCCCCCCTCGACTCTCCCTCCCCTCTCATGTCTCCCCCGCCACACACACACACACACACACACACACTATGCTTCCAGAGCTAAGCTGGAACCCACCCCTCCCCCACGTTATGAACTGAACCGGGTGGGCCTGATCTCCTCGGGTGTCCTGTGGGCGCCGGGAGAGGTGACCCGAGGAGGCACCCGGATTGCTTTTGTTTGAGACCTTTGGGGGCCCCGACTGCCGCCTGAAGCCAGGCCCTGCCAGGTCCCCTGGGAGGAGGCATTGCTAGAATTTGCCACCCAGAAAGGAAAGTTAGGCACAGAGGGGCTGGGTGTGGCCTGCCCAGAACACCTGCGCAGGAGGGTCTCACGCTCCGCGCTGCCCTCTCCCAGTCCGACGCCTGGGGTCCTTGGCGCTCACCCCCTTCCCAAGTCGCCGCTTGAGCAGGTATTTCTGCGCGACGTACTGATCCACCTCTGCCGCGCACATTCCGGTTGCTAGTCCGCAGACACCTTCGGGTTTGAACTGTTTTCCGGTTACCTTGGGAACGGACGGCCGCGCCGGGCCTCCTTTGCGCCTGCGCTGCCGGGGTGGGACCGGTCCCAGGTTCTGGACCGCTAGGACGCGGTCAGCCTAGTCCAGGCTTGGCCCCGGTTCTTGGGATCGGCCCGGCGCAGCTCGGGACCCTCGCTGCCTCCTGGCTGCGTCCGTGCCCAGCCAGACCTCCGAGAAGGGGCCATATAGCCTCCCACCTTAGGTACCAGAAGCAGTCTGCCGCCTTCTGTGACCCCGCTGTGAGCAGGCGCTCGTCCCTATCCAGAGCATCGCCCAGCCCGGACAGTCTGGATGCCTGGCACGCCATTCACAGGCCTCTGAGCCTAGAGCAGGTCCTCAAGGGACCGGACACCTCCAGGGATCGCTCCAGAATTGCAGAGTTTGAGGACCTGGAATTGCTGGAAAGTGGCAGGAAGAGTAAAGTGCCGGGTGAGTTTGCAAAACTGGCTTAGAGGGACACCGGACGGATATTAAAGCCTTGGAGAAAAAACAGTCAGGGGCCTGGGGCTGAGCATGGAAGGAGGTGGGGGCTCAAGCCTTTGGAGATTGGCGGGCATCGGAGAGGAGGACGTGGGCAAAGGCCCCCAGGCCCATGAGACGCACTGCGTGGCTGGCTAGCTGGGACTGAGACCAGATTTTGGAAGGGAAAGCGTTGGCAACTTTTCCTGTAAGTTTAGGGGCCTCTCCGGCCTGCGATTACACTGTACCGCTGTGGGGCACTTGGAGGACACAGGAAAGGGGCAAGTGTAGAAGCACAGAGACCAGGGAAGCACAAGAGGATGGGGTGATTGTAGGTGGGTGGTGGGTGTCAGAGGGGGATTCAGTGACCCCAGACCCGTGGTCAGGGAGTCTGGAAGGCGGTGCTGAGATGGGGCAGACTGTTAGGTGAAACAGAGGGCAGACCCCAGGGATTTGGACATTTTGAGTTTACTATGCCCATTAGACAGCCATGAACTGGGAGTGGTGGGCAAGACTCAAGCACGTTCTGGGAAGAGGTAAGATGCACTGTTGGGGTCCATGGCATTTGAAGGGGCCACCAAGCAGTTCACCAGGAGAGAATGCATTCCCAAGATGTATAGGAAGCCCCTGAGCTGTCTGGAGATGCGTTTTTGGTTTTAATTTAATTTGTTACAGGTTTATAATTTTGTACAATAAAAATGAGTTACTATAAAATAAAATCCCACAGACACACAAAATAAGATTCTTTTTAAAATTATTATTGCTCCGTACAATTTCTCTGTCCTACAGCCGTAAGAGCCTCTTAAAGTTTCCCCTCCAGTCCTGCACTGACTTCCTTGTAGGCTGCCCCATAGTTCATGTTTGCCGAAAGGCTGACGGTTGAGTCCACCCAGAGGCTACAGTCCTTGGCTCCCAAACTTCAGAAGATCTCCTTCCAAGGAAGCCAGCCATTGAACACCCTACAAAGCACAGTTCTATTTGCTATGAGGTTTTGTTTAGACCCATGCCAGTTTGTGATTTGGAACAAGGAGGGTTTGGAGTGAAAACCAGAGCTGTCTGTGTGTGGTGTCTGGTGGCCAGGTGAAATAGGGGTTTCCAAAGGAACGAGAAAGCAAACTGAAACACAAGATACCACCACATGTGTATTAAGTTGGCTAACATTAAGAAGACCAACCAGAGGAGACAGGGGGCAAAGATCTGAAAATTTCTTAGCTATAACCAAACACCTTGAGAAACTGAATCCCTGAGTCTGGGGGCTCAAGACTGTAGTCTTGGGGGCACCAAGATCAGTGGGCATTACGTAATCCACAAAGACAACGTGCTGTCTCTTACTTTGGTGAGAAATAACTGGGGTTTTAAAAGCTTGTGAGTGGTCATCTAAGATGTAACTATTGGAGTCTTCATGTCAGAGCAAAGAAGAGTGAAAAAAATCAAGGACACAAGGAAACAATTCATCCAAAGGACTGATGGCCACTTGAACCCTAGCCTTGATGACCCTGAGACCAGAAGAACTAGATGGTGCCCGACCACTGCTGCTAACCTCTCTGAAAGAGAGGAGAAAATGTGGAACAAACATCAAAATCATAAATAACACCAGGCTATGGGTCAGACAGAGGCTGATGGAACTCCAGAGACAATGGCCCTTAGTCACCCTACAAGCCTGGAACTGAATTCACCCCCATGACTCACCTGTCAGTCCAGTGGTTGCCAGGCCTAGACAGTGAACAGTAACACCAAGTAGATGAGAGCTCCTGAGGACAAGTAGCCATTTGGGATCAGTAAGGCAATGTCTGCCCAGGGATATAGCTTAGAAAGCAGGAAGGGATAGGAAAGAATGAAGAGAAATGCTAAAAACAGGGGAAAGAGAATGTGTAGTAATCGTTGACTGGAAAACCAATTTAGCTTGTAAACCTTCAGCCAAATCACAACACAAAGTTAAAAAAAATAAGACTTGCTTACATACCAAGTGTTGGGGAAGGTTAAAATGCTACAGCCCCTTAAGGCAGGCAGTTTCTTAAAAGGTTGAACAGAGACTTACCACATGATTCCACTTCTAAGAAAAATGAAGACATGCCCTTACAAAGAATGTACAAAGCAGCTTTACATGTGATAGTCCCAAACTAGAAGCAGTGGGAATGTTGGACCCAAGATTGAAACAGGCGAGTGGATGAACAAATTGGGGCACATCCATTCAATGAAATGTCACTCAACAATAAAAAGGATCAAACTATCGATCCCTACAGCAGCATAAATGGATCGCAGAATTACAGAGAGTAAAAGAAGTCAACCATCACACAAAAGAGTATACTATATGAGTCCACGTATAGAAAACTCTAGAAAATGTCAACTAATCCATAGTGACAGACGGTAGATCAGTAGAGCCCCCTTCCAGGCATGTCTCTGTAGAGCTAACTACATATATGTTGTAGTTGTTATTATGTGCTGTGGAGTCGGTTCTGACTCATAGTGACCCTGTACAGGGTTTCCGAGGCTGTAAATCTTTACGGGAGCAGAAAGCCTCATCTTTCTCCCACGGAACAGCTGGTAGTTTCGAACTGCTGACCTTGCGGTTCACAGCCCGATTCGTAACCACTACGCTATATACATAGAGATATTTGTGTGTGTATATATATATATATATATATACACACACAGAGAGAGAGAGAGAGAGAGAGAGAGAGAGAGTCCTGGTATGGCGCTGTGGGTTAATGTTTTAACTGCAAGGTCATCAGTTCAATCTCACCAGCTGCTCCTTGGAAACCCGACTCCATATATATACATATTGTTGTTGTTAGGTGCCATCAAGTCAGTACCGACTCATAGTGACTCTCTGCACAACAGAATGAAAAACTGCCCAGTCCTGGCCCAACTTCACATTAGAGCCCATTGCTGCTGCCACTACGCCAACCCATCTCACTAGGGGTCTTCCTCTTTTTCTCTGACCCTTCATTTTTCCCAGCATGATATCCTTCTCCAGGGACTGGTCCCTCCTGATAATATGTCTGAAGTCTGAGAGATGAAGTCTGGCCATCCTGGTTTCCAGGGAGCACTCTGGCTGTACTTCTTCCAACACAGGTGTGTTTGGTTTTTTGGCAGTTCATGGCACTTTCAGCATTCTCCTCTAACACCATAACTCAAATGCATAAGTTCTTCTATGGTCTTCCTTATTCACTGTCCAGCTTTGGCATGCATATGAGATTATTGAAAATACTATGGCTTGGGTCAGGCGCACCTTAGTCCTCAAGCTGACATCTTTGCTCTTCAACACTTTAAAAAGGTCTTGTGCAGTAGATTTGCCTAATGCAATAAGTTGTTTGATTTCTTGACTGCTGCTTCCACAAGTGTGATGGTTGACCCAAGAAAAATGAAGTCTTTGACAACTTCCATCTTTTCTCCATTTATATAGATATTGTTTATTGGTCCTGTGGTGAGGATTTTTTTTTTTTTTTTTTTTTTTACGATGCAACCCATACTGAAGGCTATGGTCTTTGATCTTCATCAATAAGTATTTTAAGCCCTCTTGGCTCTCAGCAAACAAGGTTGTATCATCTGCATATCTCAGGTTGTTAATAAGTCTTCCTCCAATTCTGATGCCACATTTTTCTTCATATAATCCAATTTCTCAGATTATTTGTTCAGCATACAAATTGAATAAATATGGTGAAAGAGTACAATCAGGGTGCACACCTTTCCTAATTTTAAACCATTCAGTGTTCCCATGTTCTGTTCAAACAACTGCCTCTTGGTCTGTGTACAGGTTCCTCATGAGCACAATTAAGTGTTCTGGAATACTCATTCTTCACAATGTTGTCATAACTTGTCATGATCCACACAATTGAAAGTCTTTGCAAAGTCAATAAAGCACAGGTAAGCACATTTCTGGTATTCTCTGCTTTTAGCCAAGATCCATCTGATACTAGCAGTGATATCCCTTGTTCCGTGTCCTCTTCTGAATCCGGATTGAACCTCTGGAAGCTCTCTGTCAATGTATGCTTGCAGCCATTTGTGTATTACCTTTAGTAAAACTTTACTTACATGGGATATCAACGGTATCTCTGCATTCCATTGGGTCACCTCTCTTTAGAATGGACATAAATAAAGATCTCTTCCAATTTCTTTGGCCTAGATGAGTGAAAGATTTCAATTTTTATTCCATCTATTCTCGGTGCCTTGCTCTTTGCCAATTCCTTGAATGTACCTTGGACTTCTTCCTTCAGGATCATTGGCTCTTGATCATATGCTACCTCTTGAAATGGTTGACCATCGACGATTTCTGTTTGGTACAGTGACTGTGTATTCCTTCCATCTTCTTTTGATGCTTTCTGCATCATTCACTATTTTGCCCGTAGAATCCATCAGAATTTCAAGTTGAGGCTTTAATTTTTTCTTCAGTTCCCTCAACTTGAGAACTGCTGAGCATGTTCTTCCCTTTTGGTTTTCTAACTCCAGGTCATTGCACATTTCATTATAACATT